GGTATAATGACAGAGTCCACTGTTTTCTCCAGAGGAACTGATCTCTGCTACCTGAAAAGCAGTTGTAATTGTGAGTGATCTGTAGCCCTCACCTGGAGATTGGCAGCAATTGTTACCCAGGACAAAATGGCTGGTTTGGAGGGTGTAGTCTATGGCATTCTACCTGTCTGAGGTCCCACCCCTCCGCAAACCCCACCCTCTCCAGGCTCCACCCCTCAAATCCCCAGGAATTTGTCAGCATGTAGTTGGCAACCCCATCTCCTTCCCAGCTAACCATCAACCTACCATTATCTGCCCCTTTGACTTCAGCTGACTTCTGCCCTCCCTTCTGCAGAGCAGTTGTAATTCTGAGTGCTCTCCAGCCCTCACCTGGAGATTGGCAACAATGGTTCCCTTTGAGGGACTGACTGGTTTGGAGGGTGGAGTCTATGGCATTGTACCTGCCTGAGGTCCCATCCCTCCTCAAACCTCACCCTCTTCAGGCTCCATCCCTCAAATCTCCAGGAATTTCCCATCTTGAGTTGGCAACCCTATCAGGACTGGCCCCAATGTGTTTTCTCCCAAAGGCCAAAGTAGGTGACAGGACCAAGCTTAGTTGCCTACCAACAGGCACTGAGGGGAATGTAGGGTTGCCAGCTCTAAGGAGGGAAATACCTGGAGGTTTGGGGGGTGGATTCTGTAGAGGGCAGCATTGGGCCGGGGGGCGGAAGGACTCAGCATGTATAATGTCATAGGGTCTACCCTCCAAAGCAACCATTTTCTCCAGGGGAACTGATCTCTGTCATCTGGAGATCAATTGCAACAGTGGGAGATCTCCAGTCTTTCCCTGCAGTGGGAACCAAAGAAGCTGACATCATTCTCCTCTCCCCCGTATGATCCGCACAACTACCCTATGAGGTATGTTATGGTTGAAAGTGTGTGAATGGTCCATAGTCCCCCAGGCAGCTTTTAAAACATGAACCTGGGACCTGCACACCATCTGTGGCAGTAATGGGGTGACTGCTGGCACCTTTTCCTATCATTTTTTGCCTTGAGGTATTCTGCTTGTGGTGTGATCTGTCTTCTTTGTGGTGTGGCGCGATTGTGTTATTGGGTTTGTTTCTTTTAAAGGGGAAGTGATGTGTTGTGAGTGAGGACATATGTTACCTCAGAATACAGTAGTTCCCATATGCAACCGAAAATTCCAACTGCCTTGCGGGGGGGGGGGAGTTTGAGGTATGGAATGGAGGGAAGTCCAATCAGCTTCCATATGCAAAAGACCTTGAAACGCTGGGCGAGACTGCACAAAGCAGCCAGTCAACGCAGCCAGTGTCTTCTGAGTGGCAGTTCTTCCGGCCAAACACTAAAGGCGGGCATTTTAGAACGTTGGTCCCCACTACTGCTTTATTATAAGGGAGAGATAACTCTTCTGTAGGAACAGACACTGAAAAGAGCAGCTATTGTAGAGAGAAGGTGCGCTGCCCTTGACTTATTGATAAAGCTATTCAGATATAGAAAGAGGCAGGGTTATGGCAACAGGAGTTGCACTGTGTTTCACTGAAATTCCCTTCCTTTCTTATACTTCTTCTCTTCTATCTGACGGGCACCTTAGGAAGTAACTAACACCTGTATGATAAGAACACTTCTCCAATGGGAATTCTGTACACTGGGTACATACATACAACTTCATTTTTATCTAATGGATCTGGTATGAGAAACTGAGAAAGTAAAATGTATCTGAGCATTTTCAATTTCCTCAAATACAATCTTTTTCTTTTCTAGGGCTGCACAGTATATAGAACATCTGTCTTTATCTTAAAGGGATTCAGATACCACAGTGCAAGCAAAGGATGTGAACAAATGACACACTTCCTAATAGCTAAAAAGAGGTGCAATAATAAAGGTTGTTTCAAAATGGAACATAAAACACCCCTAAATTGTTGGCTGAGGTGTACAAAGGTGTAGAGAAAAACAACAGTATTACATATGAATGAACAGCACCACTATCAAGTGAATGTTTTACATATGTATAATGTTAATTTAACTGATATTTGGCACTTTTACGTAGAGATATGTGAACAGCATAATCACATTACTGCCACGAATTCTATATGCCACACTTCCTCGGTGGTAATCACTATTTGATTAACTACGAGGAATTTAGTGGCACTACAGTTGGGAGGAAAATTGACACAATGCTGTTATTATTCCTGCTTAATGCTTAGAAAGTATAATGCAAACTGCATAGAAGATCACATTATCTGAATAAACCACTTCCTGATTATGTGAATACCATTTTGAGCCCTGGAAATAATTTAGGAAGATGCTCATGACTAATGTGAAAGATATTGTACAATACATATTATGGTCTGCCTATGGAACAAGTAATTTCCTTTCTGTTTTTATAGATAAACTGATAGAATCCAAAAGGAGTTCTGACAGATACAGGGTTTTTTAAAGTGTGTCATTACCCAATGCATTTTGGATCCAACCCAGTTTTCTCTGTAGTCTAGGCCAATTCAAAATGGATCATTTTCAGTCTAATTTAGCCTGAACCCCTTCCAGAGAGATTCCTGGGAATCCTCCTTGCTGTTCCCTTTCCCAAATGTATCTAGGTAAAGGTGAGGAAGACTCCTGTGAGCAGCCTTTGGATTCAGTGCCTGGTTGCTGCTACGAATGTGGGGTCTAGAGGCCTCGCTGATTAGAAATAGGTCTAATTAAAATCAGATTAATCAGATTAATGTTGGATGTCTCGCAGGTATCCTTAAATATAAACATTCAATATTAATAGTAATCCAAATTTATTAACCCACTCCTAATTAATCCATTCTGGTTTCTGAAACCAGGAAAGAATCTGAGTCATGACGACACAAAATTAAAATTTGTATTTCTCTGTCAAGCTTAAGAAAAAAATCTTATTTGCTTCAAGGGTATCTTTTAGCCTGAAAAACATGCAAAAATCTAAGACATTTGAATATTATTTAGATTGCACTGTCCTTTGGTAAATCGGACCAGAAAATTACGATTCCCAAAATGTATACTGAGAAGTTTCTTTGGGAATCTATGTAAGTTCTTCGTCAGAGGTACTTAGCAGCCTGCTAAAATTTGTGTTCACTATGATCTTGACTCCCACCAGAAGAAGAGTGGGGTCTTGCCTGCCATCCAGCTCCATGCCTGGGTGGCCATGCTTGCCCCTGCTATGATGAGCTTGTGCCCATAAGAACATAAAAAGAGCCCTCATGGATCAGACCAATGGTCCGTCTAGTCCAGCATCCTGTCCCACATAGTGGCCCACCAGTTCCCCAGGAGGGCGAACAACAGGGCATAGAGGCCAAAGCCTTCCCCTGATGTTGCATCCTGGCTCTGGGATTCAGAGGTTTGAATGTGGAGATTCCCCTCAGTCACCAGGTCCAGATTTAAATAGGACTGGCAGGACAGAAGAACTTGCTGATGCTAACTCTGCACATGCCCAGAGTCTCATTTAAACTGTGTCTCTCCAGTGCTAAACATGTGATATGTCCAATTTCTACTAAAAATCATGTACAACCAACACTGCCTGGCATCATGACATCAAATATATACCTACATTCTTCCGCATTATAATTATTTCTTTTAAAAAAATTTGTTCCAGAGCTTATAATGTTGTGGGAAAATGTAACAGTTGTGTAGTGTTTTGGATAGGTACTGTTTGTTCTAAAATTAAGTCAGATTGCTATGCAGAGGTGCATTAACTCTTCTTCAGTCACCATATGTATGTAAGTGAATTTTATTTTGAATCGTTGGAAATCATAAAACATCTTATTTTATTGATATCCATAAACATATAGTATATTTTACTGCTATTTTCCTTATCTCACAGAAATCAGCAGCATTATTAAACAACCTGAAGCCCATGTACCCAGAAAAAGCATTAAGCAGCTTAAAGGATTGGCGCATAGTCCCCTGTGAAGTGATTCCATGCCAGCCCCACCAAGCTCTTATACATTTCCATTCATTTCAGTGGGACTTGCATGCTGGACTTCTCACTGGATTGTACCCTTGATCATGTTCATATAGGATTTACCCCCCCCCCCCACATTGTCACCAGTTAACTTGTAGGTTTCAATGCAGTTTCTGGCAGTACTATATGTGACACATAAAGAGTGCAAATTACAAGAAACAATCATATGATCTCTCATTTGAGTCATCAGAAGTGCAAAATACATCAGCACGCACGCTCTACATTCTTTGCATCACAGATGTGTGAAAGGAAAGTTGCTTTCATCAAATTTAGAATAATTCTTATAACAGTCTACATTATGGTTTGGATCTTATGCCATTGTTCCCTTTGTACTTCCCTCTAGCCGTTGCAGTGCTTGCTTCCCCTCCCACTAGCACGGCACAAGATCAATGTTTTCAAGGAGCCCTTACACCCACAACAGTGCTAGTGGCAGAGGAAGCATGTATCACAGCAGAGGACACCATCCACAGTGGCCAGAGAGTACCTCAAGGGGAACAATGTCATGGAAGCCAAGCCTGTACAATCAGAATGATAAATAACTTTGGTCACTGTCCTTAATTTTATAATGTACCACATCTCTAAGTTTCACATGTGTGTACAATATAACTTCAGCATACTTTGACAAGTAGAATGCCCCTTGTCTTAAGGAGTTCTTCATGGGATATTTCCTTTGCTTTCCTTATAAATATCATTAGCGTTATCAATGTCACTGAGGATTGGATAAAAATCCTTTAAAACTCAGCTTTCTTTCAGGCACTATTTGTGGAATACTTACAATGTATCCCAATAGCTTAATGCACTTTGTGGTTAGCTAGATCCAAACACGGGACATAAAACAGACAAAGACAACACTCTTAATGACACAACCAATGTTCCCTCTAAGATGTGGAGTCCTGTGAGCAAAAATTCTACTTTGTGAGCTACCGGCATTAAAGTTGTGAGCAGGTGAATTAGCTACTGAATAACTTAGTTTGCTCTGGAATCATCCTTCCTGAGCAAAGAAAAAAATGTGTGAGCCGGAGGCTAAAAAACTGTGAGCTAGCTCACACTAACTCAGCTTAGAGGGAACACTGGACACAACCACTTTTCCTTTGATTAGTGCTTCTTCACCTTTGACCAATTTCACATATATAATTTATTCCAGACAATCAAAATGAATATTACTGTATTCTACCTGAATCATACAATAAAACATAAAGAAGTTACAGGCTTTGGACATAAATTGTCACTTTGCTGATTAATGAGACATTGTACTGCAAAACTGACTATGAGTTATTGGAGCCACCAAGTTTTCTTTACTCTTTGTTGCTGTCTTATCATTATAGATAATAATGACTAGCCCTGTTCCAAACCAAGGTGTCTTCTGCAGCATCCACAGGGTTGAGCTTTAGAGTCCACGAAGTACCCTTTTCATTATGTTCTTGTCAATCGATCAAAAGAATTTGAGGGAGACAGAGAACTTGAAACATGACCAATGCAAACTGAGGAGAGGCTGCAAACTGACTCATCATTATTACCAGTAACATATGTACATCAACCCCAGGAAGATTAGTCAAGAAGGCGGGCATTTCATCATTAGAACTTGATATATAATTAATTTCCCATAGGAGAATTTGATAGTTCATCATTTTGAATGGCAGTAATTTAATTCCATTTTAATGTTTTCTGACATAGTTGAAAAGACAATTAGCATAAGCAAACCATGAATGAGATGAAAAGTCAGCATTTCTTTCTTCCCATTGGATGTAATCCAGCAGTGAACTAAATCCCTTTTTGTGGACATGTGAGTTCTAGTTTCAATGCTTATACTTCCTACTGGTAGATGTAAAGCAGGAACAACTTTGCAGAGATGATGAACATTCAAGGAAGCACTAGTGGACAGAATGATTCCACAATTATTGTCAGTCACCAGACAAAATGAACCTCTATAAAGGATGAAAACCTCACAGGCAACAGGATTAATGTGCACTAATTTTAGCTGGTGTTGGGTTTTCATCTTACTTAGGAAGGACTGTGTACCATTTTATAGCAGCTCTAGCAATGCTCAGAAATAATTGCATCCAGCCCAGACTGCATTTGCAGCAAAGCTCATGACAACACAGTTAGTGTTACAGTCCCTTTCTGGTGCTTCAGAATAGCGACAGCTTGCTCATGAGTCACGCCTTCCAGAGACTCTCCATTAACAGCTAAAATCTGATCACCACGCTTCAGTCTGCCATCATCTGCAGCTGCTCCCTGCAAACGACAGAAACAGTACATCAGAGGACAAGCAATTTTATAGGCCTTAATTAAAAAGACACACACACACACACACTGAACAATGTTGTTCCATTTCCATTAGCAATGCTTCCTGGAGTATTTGTGAAGAGGTGGAAGTAAAAGAGAGCTGCTCTACTGCCCTCCTGTATGGAACAATGATCACTTTCCAAGGCTGGGTCAAATCATTTCACATCACCATGTTTTTTAAAATAAGGCAATGAAGGGAGTGTTGACTCTAGAAAGCTCACCTCCCCCCATATCTTGTTGGTCCCTAAGGTGCTAATGGACTTGAATAAGCAGCCTACAAATGGCTCTCCATAGGGCTCCTGTCATGCAGACATTTTCCTATCATTTCCACATGGTGAAAAATGATGGCTTGGTCTTAGAAAGTTGAAATGTCAGCCCAGTAAAACTAATGTTCTCAGACCAATGTTAAAATGCCAAGGAATATTACATAAATAAACTTGTATCTGTACAGCCTGCTTTAAATTGTTGCTTTAGGCAGAATATAGCTATTAAAATATTGTATGAAATATCAACGATTGGTAGAATGTGTCTAAAAATCATAGTGAAGAGGACAGTCAGGAATCTGGTCTCTTGATCTTCTATCTCATATTTTTACAAAAGCAAGATTAAAGTTACAACCTTGCAAAAGATGTACAAGCTTGCCTCTTAGCAATGTAGTGATCATTTGGTTAAGCACATTACAAACCCCTTTAGCGCAGCCAGTATACTACTCTCTTTACCAGTTTTGTTTCTTTGAAAGATTGTGAATCAAGCTGTCCATTCACAAATATTCACAAAGTGAGTTCTTCTTGGTGCTTTGCACCTGCCCAATTATGCACATACTTACATATTTCTTATTCCTGTACAGAGACATATTTCTAAAATTCCTCTTTACTTATCAGGTAGTGCATAATCCATCAAAGATGGAAATATAACTACTAACTGTGCATAAAACTGACTGATCTTTCTTTAAAACAAATTCTTCTTTTTAAAAAATTGAGCAATATTTCGATAACAAGAGTCCAAGTTTTTGCTGAAAATATTCCCAATTTCCCTCCAATATTTATTTACCATAATTTACTACCAGAATTATTATTTACACCTTAGATTTTCACTCTTTTACCCAAATGTTTTACCTACCCTCTACATTTTTCCTACAAAAGAGTTTGTCTCCTTTTTGGAAAGTTATTGAGAAATATTAAATCCTTATATAACCTGAAAATATTAATATCTGAAGGGCTGCTACAAAAATAATGCTTATACAGTTAAAAAGCATACTTTGTAATCAACAGGTTCAGTGATAAAGAACACAGGAAAATAAATACAATACTCAACACTATTATGTTGAGGACCTATCAGCTAAAACCTGAAAAAAATGACATAGAGACAAGTGGTGATAACAATTTCTCAAAATGCAATATACTGGTCAAACTGGAGCTCAACTGCTGTATTTACTGAAAATTCCAGTAGTTTCCACCAGATTTCAGCACCATGCAGGAGGGAGAAACTTGGAGCGCCATTTGCCAGCATGGTACCATAGCCTGGTCAACTATAAATAAGTGAACTACCCCAGCAAAAGGACCCACCTTCAATGTTCCCTTTGAATCCCCCCCCCTACTGAGCGGAGCAGTTCACAACCTGAGCAGAATATAAACCCTGTGCGGTTTCCTGTGTAAATGAGCGGCCACTCACGCACACAGCTTGGAGGGAACACTGTCCACCTCTAACACCCAACCCACTGCCCCCTTGCCTTTTAGCACCCCACTAGATAATCCCACCCCGTAGGGGATAGTACCTCTCACTTCGTGAACCACTGGTCTAAATGGAGTTTCATTCGCCTTGTCTGTATCATACGAAGAGTCTCATGTGCTCCTGAATCCTGCCTTGCTTTTTGAGAGGCAACCAGGTGGTGTTCCCAGGAACACTTTCTATCACTTTTGTTATGTTACTGAATTGGTCACATTGACCCATGCTTCTGTAAACTCCAGATTAGACAACTGTAATGTACTTTACATGGGGCTGCCCCTGAAGGCAACTCAGAGACTTCAGCTACAGCAATATATAGCCTCCTGTTTGTTAGCAGGTGTCAGACATGGGTTGCATATTACTTTCCAACAGTTGTATTTGTTGCCTGTTTATAACAGAGCTAGCTCGGACCTTAAAAGCTCTTCTTCACTTGGAACCCTTATATTTGAAAGACTGTCTCCCTATACAGATCACCTACCACCTCAGCCTTGCCCACACTTTCTGGTGATAATTTCCTCCCTTTCAAAGGTGTGTTTCGCCTCCATAAGAGTACAAGCCATTTTGGTAGTTTCACACACTCTTTGGAGTGGCTTACCAGAGGAAGTGCATTGAGCTACTTTTCTGATAAGTCCTCCTTACCCCTATGGGCCTTTGGCTGTTAACATTTTTTTTTTGTTCCAGCTGCTTTTTTCAGGCCTCTGTACTGCCCTTATTTTCCTCATACTCTTAATAAGCTGGTTTATTTACAGATTTGGGGGGAGGTTGTGCAATTTTATTTTCTTGTATTTGTATCTTGAGTATTTTATGGGCTGTTTCGTATTATATTTCATTTTTGTTTTATTTTACTGTTATTATTGATGTTTTATATTTACTTGTTTCTTCATTAAAATTAAAACACCAATAGTCATATGATATATACTTATGTTCTTTTTAAAAATTACCTTTGCAAAAATGGTCTTGACATAAATGGGGAGGTCTCCATGGGGGCTTCCGTAGCCTCCTACAATACTAAATCCCAATCCATCTGAGCCTTTCTCCAACACAATAATTTTAGGCTGAGGTGCTCTGAAAAACACAGCAAATGCCTCTTAGAACAGTGCTTTTTAATAACTGGGAAAGCAACCTAATTGGCATGGGGGGCTTTAATAAAGCTGCCCACTTTCTTCTGGCAAGACTCCTCTGTTTGCATCAGCTATTCAGAGCCAGAAATCAGCAGGTGAAACTTTTTCCCATTACTGAATCTCCATGCCAGGAAAAGTTCCACGTGTGTATGTTTTGTGGCTGTTAACAGCTGGAGAGCTCTGTCATTTAAAATGAGGTAAGGACAACAGTTGTTGTTGCTCAGTCGCGCAGTCGAGTCCGACTCTTCGCGACCCCATGGACCAGCTCCCGCCAGGCCCTCCTGTCTTCCGCCATCCTCTGAAGTTGGCTCAATTTCATGTTCGTTGCATCGATGACACTGTCTAACCATCTCATCCTTTGCCGTCCCCATCTTCTTTGACCTTCAATCTTTCCCAGCATCAGGGTCTTCTCCAGTGAGTGCTCCCTTCTCATTTGGTGGCCAAAGTATTTGCGCTTCAGTTTCATTATCTGGCCTTCCAGGGAACAGTCAGGGTTGATTTCTTTTAGGATTGACTGATTTGATCTTCTTGCAGTCCAAGGGAAAACCCCATGGACAGTATCAAAAGGACAACAGTATTGTACCATTTATTTGTTTAAAATAAATTATTTCCTGAGAAGAAGCTCCAGTGTGGTACTCCTTGCATGTTTCTGTTCAGTTTGTGCCAGGCATGAACTAATTTGTAGGCAGAGAGAGTTCTGAGAGAACTGTAACTCACTGGTATGAGGTTTCCTGCAAGTCAGATGTGAAAGGAGAGTGGCAGTGTTTGTTTAACAAGCAATGTAGTAGCACTAGGGTAACAGAGATCATATAGCTCTGTGCCTGATGCCCAGCATTAGTACATATGGATGGTTAGCAAGCTGCTGATCCTGAATCTTAGATGTGTATCCAATTCATAGGGAACCAGCACTGGAGATGTGATCTAGGTTTCAAGAAACGACAGACTGTGACAAACAGGAAAACATTTTATAAAGAACACTTGGTGTTGTTGTTGGCCTAGGATAGGAGAGATCCAAGATCAAATCCTTGCTCAGCCATAAGGTTCACTGGGTGACTTTGGGCCAATCACAATTTGTTAGTCCAACAAAGTGTTGTTGTAAGAATAATATGAAGGAGAGGAAAGCCATATATACCACTCAAGGCTCCTTGTAGATACACAACATTAAGATAAATCCTACCCCAAAGATAAAAATGCTCTTCCACTGAAACGTGTGAGGCTGATTTTCAATAACTCTCTCTCTGACTACAACCCACCCCATTTTGGCCCCATCTGGTTTGTGAGGCCCCATCTGGTTTGAGTGTCCTCTGATCACCAGGAATAGTATTTGGGGGTAAGGTTGCCAACTCTGGCTTGCAAAATTCTTGGAGGTTTGG